AGCCATTATTACTAACGTAAATAGCGATTATTATTCACAGCCCAACAAGATGACCTAGTCATAACCTAGTTCAATTATACATATATAAATTATATTAAAATCTTTTCCAATAACATTATTCTACTTGCGGGTTGCTTGTATCCAACACAAGACAGACAGCGCCTAAGTGACGGGCTGAATAAGTCGCGCGCCTGGTGTTAATCGACACGCCTGTCCATAGCAGTTGCAGTGCCACTCAGAGCTTTAAATCGCAAAGATCTGAGGGACACTGCCCCTGCGTCTGTCACCCTTAGACAAGTCTCATAAGCGTTTAGTTTGAAATACAAGCGTTCGGTAAGCTTTCGGTACCTCGTATACCGAGCGTACCGCTACCACACCGACAAGTCAGTAAAACAGCTTAAACCCTTGAAAACCGATACACAGTGAGCTGGAGGCAGAAATAAGTAAGTTGGCAGTACTTCACCGGACGAGCTCTTTCACGAGGAGCTTTACTGCTGCTAAATCTTATACTTAGATTACCTGGTGTGGTAGTCCCGAAGGCAGGCGCGCTGGTCTGCGCCGGTTTGTTCCCGAAGAGTCCACCGCCGCCGGTGAACGCCCCAAAGCCACCCGTAGGGGCGGTCGTGCCGAAGCCCGACGTCGATGGCTTCGCACCGAAAAGAATGCCGCTCTGGGAAACATCAATTAATAATGACATGGACGAGTTACTAAAGAGGACTGGTAAGTGAGATACAAGACAGCGTAGTCGAGTGTTTAGTAGTAATTTATTTTACATTACTACTCTAATTTATAGTGATAACAAACAAATCAACTAGATGGCGCTTATTTCACAGATTTTTATGGATACAGCCGGCTATTCTTTTATTTTGTACAGGTTTAGCGCCATCTACCCATCTTGTTGTTTGGAAGCTGTTCACAAATAAATAACACGATTAACTGTCGTTCACGACTTTTTTGACATTACGATGACAGACTGACGTAACAATGGGAAGGGCTAGTACGACAATCGTCTAACGATAAATAAAACGTCACGATAAAAATGTAACGACAGATAATCGCAGCTTCAAGCGATTCTGTCAAAACGACAAGGCGGCTGCCGTGAACCGATAAATTGTCGTCACGATATAGTGGGAACAGCTAGACACGACAGTCGTTCAACGATAAAAGAAACGTCAACGACAGTCACGACAGATAGTCGTCCAATGACAAATAAAACTTTACGACATAATAGGGACACGCCCTTAATTAATATTTATTAGTTTTAGCCATGTCACTCCTATTTATATATAGACCTTTATCTACTCATTTGAAAACGCCTATTTCGACACCTGGCCATAATAAGTGACCATTGCATTTAGTAAATAAATGATGATTGGAGTCATTCTTACTTAAATAATTCTCATTTACCTGATTCTGAGTGTTGGAACCGAAACCGAAGGAAGGTGTGGTGGTACCGAAGGTGGGAGCTTGGGTGGACGCCGCGCCAAACAACCCAGTACCTAAGTGTAAGAAAAACATTTATATTACAACAGTACACTGTAATACAATATGTTGATTTGCATTCTCGCCATATTTACAGAGGTCATTCTATATCCGAAACTGAAACCAATTCACTAAAAAAAAAAATTTTTTTTAAATAGGATTTTTTTCTGAGTGTTCGATCTTTGTATTAATAATTATAACAAACTAGTGGAGTAATTTCACAAAAAATAATTGAATATCAATTCAATAAAATTTTAAAATACTGCGAATAGCGACATCTCTCGCCAGGACTGGTAGCTGTAAAGATACTAACTGGGTGATAAATCTTTCATAGATTTCTCGTAGATGGCGCTACGACTAATAAGTCGTTGAAAAACCAAATACAAAGACACGACGCAAGCACATAGAAAAATTCGTGAGGTCCGCTGGTTCGTTCCGTGGCTTAGTTGGTATAGCGTCTGGCACGGTAAGCTAGAAGACGTCGGTTCGAATCCGGCCGGACCGAAGGAATTTTTTCTGAGTGTTCGATCTTTGTATTAATAATTATTAAAAAAAATCCTAAATTCTTATTTTTTATTTAATTGCGGTAACCAAGTTTGATCCAAAGGCCACTGACTTGCATTACACGTGCTACATGTACCGGCAACCATTTGAACAATGGTTGCCGGTGATCATCAGTCAGAGGTAGATCATCAGTCGACCTTGAGTATTGAGTCTACGTTCCGCTGACATCGCGCATACGCTCTAATTTCTCACGAAATGCAACGTGGTTTGTGTGTGATGTAAACAAGAGTTAGTGCAAAAAAAACCGCTACCATGTGCATTACCATCAAGTGCGTTTTTATGGTATGATGTGAAACGTTTAGTTTACGCACATTACGAGTGTTGAAGAATTGCGCGCAAAAATCGTCTCTGGTTTCTTTCTGCTTTTTCTGTTGTGAAGAATGTGCTAAATTGAAACGAAACTCTGTGGAGCTAGGTACTTCTAGCACTACTTTCATGTAACCTAAAGTTGGTAAGTACTAAATCTAAGTTTAAAAAAATATTTTTTCAGTTCGACTTTTCTAACTAATGTAAATAATTAGTAAATTATAACAATACCAGTACATAAACCTGATTTAAAAAATAGGTAAATAAGCGATCAAGAAAGATTACGTATCGCTCGGTGAAGCGAGTGGCGGGGTCACTGTCCTGAATATAGTCTAGAATATTGAACAGAATATATTTTTTTATATTTTTAGATAATTTTGCATAATTTCTATTAGTAATTTCTTAAATATGGCGAGAATGCAAATCAACACACTGTATAGATAGTAAGTTAGTTTATTCTATGTGGAAATATTGTTTTTTTTTTTATGTAGTGTCACAATAAACGTCATCTAAGCTGATGTAAAATGACGATGAGGCCGACAACGGTATATGTACACCTAAACAATGCTTATTCACTATCGGCTTCAAAATGCAGGGAATTCCACTCCCTTGCCGTTCGCTTTTTAAATGTGGAAGCGTAACGTGCGAATCTTTGGAATGTCCACAACATAGGGGTGGAACCCAAGCCTACGTCTAGTTCCGCGATGATGGAAAGGGGAAGGCGGAATTAAAATGCGCAATTCCATCGCACACTGTCCGTGATATATCCTGTAGAAAATCCATTACGGCGGTATTCAAGGTACTGCTGCAATCAATCTTTGTGCAGCTGGCATGCTTGTCAACAGAATCCAAGGTGGCCAGTTGGTACTTAGCAGAGCCATCCCATAAGTGGCAGCAGTACTCCATACACGACCGAAAAGAACAATGGCGAACTCCCATATAAATATGGGATTTATTGACACAATTTGTATGCAACTGTCTATGAATAATTGGAACTTTTTTATTTTAAAAAACCGACCTCAAAAGTTCGTAGAATTACATCTATTTGCCAAGTTTTTCTTAAATCGGTTATCGGAAAGTGCGCGAAACCTGATTCATCCCCTAGTTTGCCACCCTTAGAGGTACGACAATACCTTCCGACAAAAAGAAATCGAAACCGGTTCACAAAAAAAAACAGACGAATTGAGAACCTTCTCCTATTTTTTTGAAGTCGGTTAAAAATATGTGAAAATATAGAGTTTAAATTCCTGAAAAAATTTGGTCTTGGGTTTACTATTTGAGAAGTTTGGAATTGACGTTTGAAGCCTTGTAGGTTATATTTTACATAATTGAATGAAATTATATATTATATTAATTAAATTATATATATTCGGTGTATCATTATATCAAAATAAACAGAATCTTAAACATAATTAATAGAAGCCAAGTGGTGCTTTGAATTTGTGACGTGACCAAAGTTCAGAGGAAAATATTTTTATAAAAAATGGTCAAAAGGCATGAATTAATAAGCCTAATTATTTTATTCAAATTTGTAATTATTGAAAACGCTAAACAATTCTTTTAACAATAATTTCACAATTGTTCTTCTTTAACGACGATTTAACACTTACCTGTAGTAGAAGTAGCCCCAAAGGCAGGCTTTGGAGCGCCAAAGAGTCCACCGGTTGTGTTCGTAGTATTGGTAGTGTTGCCTCCGAACGAAAATGCATCTGAGTAGCAGATAATTTTATATCATAGGGGTGGTACAATTTGTTTGATACGGACTAATATTTCTATGGTTATTCACCCCTTTCCCACTCAGCAGCGACAACATAGTGTAGGGAATATTTTCCCTACATTTCTACGTCCTGTTAAAAAAATCGAGACGAGACTTGTGAAACTATTTCGAAAGTAGGTTTCCATATTTATAGGCTAGGCATTTAGTCAGGGATGGATGGCCCTTATTTCGTCTCTATTTCTTTTTTTTTTTGGACTTTAATTGGATTATATGAAACTAGACATTCGGGGAAGTACACGTCATAAACCAAACCGTTGTCAATTACACTATAACAGCTTTTTTTACATTACTACCTCTATAGTGACGGTATAATACTAACTGGTTTGCCCGAAGCCGCCGGCGGTGCTGGTGCCAAGTGCGCCGCCGCCGCCGAAAAGCGAGGACGCCGTCGTAGTTTGGCCGAATGCTGGATTTGAATTGCACATGTCTGTTATATGAAATATGTCATCATACCGTACACTGGTCACCTTTAGGAAGCGGATTTCGGTCATAACCCGCCAAGGGAATTTAAGAACATTAATTAACATTACTTACTTTTTGCTTAAAAATAGAGAAGGTTTTTAATTCGACTGTATTAGGGGTTAAAGTATGAAATTGCCGTTTTATTGCAATAGGTTC